AAATGGAAAGAGAGCGCCAAGGACCCGGAGGTGTGGTACAACAAGGTCAAGGACGGGGCGGCATGGCTCATGAGGAAGTGACACAGGCAGGAGGCGGAAGCGTCCGCGAAGCGCCAGCGCGCGAGGGAAGCAGAAGCAGAGAGTACGGCCATCTCAGGACCGAAGAGAAAGAGAGCCGGGGAAGCGGCGGTGGGGGGGAAGAAACGGCGAACGGGCACTGCTGTAGAAGCGAGTAGGGCGGCCGAGGCAGCACTTGTGGCGAACTATGTACCCGGCTGATGTTCTTGCGCCCTGTTTCCCTCCCTGCTGTATGCTATACTCCTTTATGTATGTCCTTTGGATTGCCTTCGGCCTCTGTGCTGTGTTCCTTTTTTTCATGACCTCCCTGCCTACTCTGCTGTGTTCGGTACCTCGATCTGTTGCTGTTGCCTTTGTTTTTGTACGTCTGTCTGTCTGCCCACCTGCCGCCTCTTTGTCCTGTTTGCTCCGTCACTCCCATGCCCTGGTGCGTAGTGCCTGGTGCTGGTACGTTACCCTTTGAGTTTTTTCTTTAGGCGGGTGTGGGAAGCGTCCTCCTTTATTTTGTTTTTGTTTTATTTTGATCGGTTTCCGAGGACTCTTTTCTCGAACGGTTCGTGCGGTAGCTGTTATTTTCTTTCTAAATATCATTTTGTTTTCTTTTTCCGAGTGGTTTGTGCTCTATTTTTGCTTTTTTTCCCCGCGGCGTCGTATGTGCCGGGTTTTGAGACCACGGGCTCTCCATGTTTTGTGGACTATAGAGCTAATTGACAGTTTCGGACCCAAAAAGAAGCTGAAATAAGGAAATACTGTATTTTGAGTTAAGCCATCGTTCTGAGTATCGTTCCTGACAGTCTCGCCCGAACCAGGAAAAAGGAAAAAATATTCCTACTCAAGAGCCGAGCGCGGCTCGTTTTGCTTGGTCTCCTCCGAGTCCTGCCTCGCAGCAGCCTTCGCGTCCACTATCGCGGTCAGAACTTTTTCCTGTGCAGCACATCGCGGACAAGAAGCAACAGCGGCGCGGCAGCTCGTCAGCTGTACGACTTACAAAATGTATTACCAGCGTCGGCGGTAGCTCTATGCATCGTCAGTTTTGTTGACACGTCACGCCCCCAAACAATGCAGAGTGGGAGTGAAAACTTCGACGCTGTTTTGATTTTCTGGGTGAAGGACCGTCTCAGCAAGCTAACTCTCTGCACGTTTTGCGTTGCCTGGTATGTAGCACTCTCTATCTACTTCTGTCTTCCTTTTGTCATGCTGCGCATGCATGTAAGTTGGACTTACAGCTAACCCTGTGCGTACCCCTCTTATTTGCAAGTGTAAAACGTTGGCGACGACGGCAGGCATTTTCTTCGGTCGGGACAGCGCAGGTGTTTCACGATACTCTGTGGATTCTCCATGTGCAGACATTCGTTCCCGTCTTGTTTAGACTGTGCCATGATCGTGCACACGCGGGCTTGCGCCCGTCACAAAAGGTAGAGATAGCTTAGACTAATGGCTCTAGACCCCTCACCAGCTGGATCTTGGTATTCTTCTCTCCCTCGTCCTCCGAACCACTCTCAGCAGTGCCGGCTCCGGAGTCCCGCTGGGCTTTACCATCGTTCTTGCTCTGGTCGTCAATGATCTTGTCGTAGCGCGCCTTGCAATTTTTGGACGTCTTATCCTTGAAGATCCTGACCAAGGACTCCTGGTTGAGGGTCTTCCAGCAGGCGTCCCACCTTTCGCCGACCGAACGCCCGCTCCCATTCACTTTCCACACTTCGTTCTGCAGACCTGTAGAGGACAAGGGTGGGAGTGCCTTCTTTGAATGTCGTAGTGGATGATTGCTTCGACTTCATTTTTTACACCAGATACATGTGCGTTTTGAGAAGAGGAGGAAGCATAGGTCTCGCCACTAAACGAGTCCGTGAACACCGGCCGTCTTGCAGCGCACGGAATGGCTATTGCGCAGAGTGTCAACTGCACAGGGTCCGCCGTGCTTCGTAGTAGTAGTTGTTGCGACATTCTTTCGGGTAGACTGCATCTACTGCGGCTACAGCGGGATGCAGGATAACTAACACTGCGTGTAAACCCATTTGACATGATGCAACATGATGTGCCACGGGTAGACTGCTTCTTCTCCTGTGGGACGCAGCAGCAGCGGATCCGCGCCCATCATAATAGTCCAGGTCAGGTGCCGTTGTGATGCGAGAAAATACTAGTCGAGGACTCCTTTGCGCTTACGATTGTGTGCGCACCTTTGTCCTGCTGGTTCCATCTAAAGGCGACGTGTGACATTCTTTGAAGAGACTGTATCTACTGGGGGGTGCCGCGGCTTCGTACGCCCAAAAAACTCATAGCTGCTTTAAATTTTAAACATGATGCCACATGTGACGTGTATTTTTTCCACGTCGGAACCAGTGCAAGAAAGTCTCATCTTCTTCACCAAGCAAGACTTGTATCCCCTACGAACGCCAAATATAGCTTCGTGCTCCTACCCTACTCCGCTGCTACTATATTGAATCTTGCGTAGACTATATGTTGCGCACTCGTTGCGCACTCGTTGCCAAGGTTCAACAATCTGGTTCGGAGTGGCTTGTCTCTTTAGTCTACAGTTCAAAAACAGCGTGCATGTGTGCGCGCGCACATGAGTCGCTCCCTCAACCCCAGCAAAGGAAACAACTAACTCCAGCACAGGAAATCGCACCAGTACGGAGACAGCAAGTATATATACCACTGCTGCTGTGGCCGGCTGCTCCTGCAGTGCTGTGTCGCGTTCGGAGCGTATGGGGGGGGGGGTTGGGGAGGGAACACAGGCAAGCCAAGAAACGCCTCTAGAAAAACAGAGCATACCCGTGCGCGGGGAAAGACTCACCTGCCCTTGCCAGCGCCAAGTCGAAAGTAGGAGGCCACTTCGTGCTCTTCCTTACCCTAGCCAGCTGTGCTGCTGGCGCTGCCGCGACTTGGACGTCGTCGCCGTCTCCCCCGGCCGCTTGCTCTTCTCCTCCCGTTGCCTCGAGGTCGCGGGCGTGCTGCTGGCCTAGAGCCGCAAAGCCCACCCGACCGGCTGCCCGTGCCGCCTCCCTCTTGGCGACCTCGTCGCGAACCAGATCCAGGGCCTTTGCGCTGGGCGCTGCCCTTCTCTTTGGGCGGGTGGACATGTTCGTGGCAGACTGCTGTGTGCGCGTGTGGGTCTGGTGTGGTGGTGGTGGCTGTTGTGGGTGCGTTGTTTCGAAGAAAGTTAATCAAAAAAATGTTGGCAAAATTTTCCACAAAACGAGCCGCGCTCGGCTCTTGAATCGAAATAATGTTTTCTTGATTCTGGTTCTGGCGAGACTGTCAAGGACGATCCTCAGAACGATGGCTTAACTCAAAATATATCTCTCTCGGTGTGACCGGTGGCAATATCGATCAGCAATGCCGCACAGACTTTCGCGCGCCGAAATAAGCGTGTGACAGCTTTAACCTAACCACTTCGGTGGAAAGCGGATTCATTTCTGTTCGATACGGTGTCGGGAGTGCTGAGGGGGGAGGGCTTGGCCCTTGTGCTTGCAGATGGCAAGGAAGTAGGACCAGGGGGTGGCAGTGTCGGGGGTCCGGGGAAACATGGGCTTGAGTGGGGGGTGCCTCAGAAAGAGCAAGACGGCGAGTGTTTCTCTCTTGGTGTGACCGGTGGCAGTATCGATCAGCAATGCCGCACAGACTTTCGCGCGCCGAAATAAGCGTGTGACAGCTTTAACCTAACCACTTCGGTAGAAAGCGGATTTCTGTTCGATACGGTGTCAGGGGTACCAGGGACGACGGGGCCGAGTTTTGTTTGATTTCGGGTGGATGAGGTTGGGGTTTTGTTCGTTTTTCTCCATCTAAGGTTGGTGCCTAGAGTTCAGCTGTAGTGTTTCAAACAAAGTTTTGTTGACTTAAGAGGCAAACATTCCTAGCTATTGGGCATCGACTTTATTTGGCTTGGCATGACGGCCTTTACGATCGACTTTTTATTTATGTCTGCATTTATCTGCAATTAATTGTCGGAGGGCAAACAAAATAATAATATTTCCTTATTTCAGCTTTTTTTTTGGGTCCGAAACTGTCAAATGTGAGAAACAACAAACCATTGCATTCTGCAGTTATGGGTGACTACTTCAAAAACGGCCGCATTCGTGGACGATGCTGTTGACCTGATGTTGAGATGGGGTGCAGATGATTGACAATGTTGAATACGACGACGACGAGGACGGGTCATATCACGTGTGCTGCATACCGGCAGAGTTTTGGGGGCGGCATAGTGTTCAACAGGAATTTCATTGTGCTGCAGATATTAGATATATTGGGGGTACTCGTAGCATAGTATGACGGTTGAGATGTTCGGTACGTACGTACGAAAGTAACGGTGATGAGATGCGGAGGGATAGGAACTTTCTACATATATTCCTTGGTTGCGAGAGGTATTTGGTGGAGATTCAGAGAGATTCGTTGAGTGACAAAGAGTGAAGGCGTGCCCAGATACCGTGAAGGTTTGACAAGCACTGGCACGCCCCCGATGAATACAATACTTTT